TGTGAGAGTTCAAATAAAGACAAAAAAATTTCACAAAGAAACTATAATCTTAGTTTGATAAGAAAAAAGAAAAGCTTATTCCTGACTATGAAAATAACATGTATTCCTTTAGAAATTTTAGAAAATAAAAAATGGATAAAGAAAAATTCAATCACAATCCACCAACCACAATGAGTATTATTAACATTTTGGTCTACTTCCTACATGACTTGTATCTAGCAATATCATATTTTAATACAAAATTTGGGCTATACTCTGTGTTTGGTTATATAAATGGTTTCTTTCAGTTTAACAGTATAAGGCAAGCATTTAAAAGCTTTATTTTTAAATGATGGCAGAGCATTCCATGATACTTTCCTAGTGTGGAGGCACTTAGGCTGTTTAAAATTGTTTGCTATAATAAAATAGCCATGGATACCTTTTCTTTCTTTTGTTGAAATGTACACAAATCTTTGACAGATTGTGCATTTATTACTTTTAGTTGGATTCCCAGAGGTAGAATTACTCAGTAAAAAGGTCAAACATTTTAAGGGTCTTGATACACACTGCCAAACTGCCTGTCAAAAGGACCATACTAATTTACATTATATAACAGCAAGGATCAAGCTTTCAACAGGCAGACATGAGAAGAAACTGGCTTCCTGACAGAAGGAAAGTTTTAAAGAACTGTAAATTACTTAATTTGACAAGAGAGGGGAGAAAACATTGAAAATATACTTGGACCCAAATTATGGAAATCCCTAAATGCTAAGATAAGGAAATTTTATCAATAGGTACTAGTACTAGAAGTAAGCTATCAACAGAAGTAACAGGATCAGAATGATCAGAACTATACCTAGACAAAGATTAATCTGATAGTAGTGGGCACATATTAGAATTTTCATATTGAGACAGAATTTGTGTCATTTATGATTACAACTTCCCACAATAAAGCTTATAAAATGGTTAATAATAGGTGTGCAATAAATATTTGGGACAGGATAAATAAATATAAGGGATAGTGTGAACCACTCATAAAGAAAGTAACATTGACATAGTATATAGATTTACAACAGGAGAGATAAAGATAGATTTCAGGTAAAGAAAAGAAGGAAGATAGGCTCAGGAATTTATGGTTCTTGCTGATCTTACTATTAAAATGCTTAATAAATATTTACTATGTATCTACTATGTATATGAATGGTAACATGAACAACATGCACAAAGGAATGGGGGTGTGTTTAAGCATGGTAGAGCCATTAAAACTAGTCTGATGTTGAGATAGGGTATGTGGCAAAAGGGATGTAACCAATATGGGATATAAAGATTATCAGAGAGATAGTAAGACCAACCCCCAATGGATTTATGGCTTAGAACCAACAGAAGGCCAGGTCATCCAACATAGAGAATAATTTCACCTTCCAGTAACCCTTAGCCTCATTATTCTCTCATTGTAATACATTAGCATACTAAACAATGACCTACACACACACACAGAATGCAAAGCCCATATAAGGATACAAAATGGCCAACTGTTCTCCCAAGAATCTTCACCCCTTTCCCAGAAAAATCCTGAATATTCTTCCCCCTTATTGAATGCCCTACCCCCCAACTAAATGAGCTCCAATAAAAGGAGCAAATCCCACTAGGAAGTGGCTGCTCTACTGTGGAGTAGCCACTCTGTCTCACTATTTCACTTATAAACTCTTTCACTTTAAAGTCTATGCTGGCTTGAAACTGAGTTCTTTCCTGCTCTAAGCCAAGAACCCCACAGTGGTCACAAATCATCAGATCCCCAGGCCCCTGAAATGCCCAAATCAGTATGACAGGAAAAGACGGCAAAAGAGACAAAATGTGTCAACCAATTTATCCATTAAGCAATAAGCAATAAGTAATATAACATTAATATACTAAAAACACCTCTCCAGCAACTGGTAGGGGATGGATTAGACAGGAAGTGAAAAGAGAATAGATTCAATTCCCTACTCCAAGTGTGGTCCACAGACCAGCAGCAACCGCATCACAGGGTTTCTTAGAAATGTGCAAATATGTGCCTCACCAAAGACTCACTGAACTACAATCTGTATTTTAAGATCCTCAGTAATTTATATGCTTTGAGAGGACCTAGAGTAAAGTATAGAAGAGCAGGGAGAGAAGAGAGGACATTTGATTGTCCTGGAAAATGCAAATTAACTGTGAACAACAGTTCTCTGCTCATCTCTAAAAATTTCAATTACTCTTTTAAGACAGATCACCAAAGCAGCCAAAAGGTAGGAAGATTTAAATACATTTTAAATACTTTTTCCAAGAGTATTGATAATAATCTATCAATTTCAGATAGGACTTAGAAGAGGAAAAATTTGCAACTTGGTGAGATGCCATTACATTTTACAAACTGAAGAAAATTAGAGAAGCACATTTAAGGATTTGAAACAACCGTATATATTTTCCAAAACTCATAAAAATTTCCATTTTTACAAGTGTTAAGATACAAGTAAAATAAATTTACATATGAAAATTTCCCAAACTTATTGAAATCCTATCAAAAATTTCCCAAACTTATTAAAATCCTATCAAAATCACAAAGAACACATTTCAGTACTTTGCATTTCTGTGTGTATTAATCTTTAGGTCACTTGAAAATCAATATAATGAAATGGATATTAAATGGTACCAAAGAATTGTTAATTTTGTCAGATATAATCACACTGTGGTTATCTAAAAAAAAAAGTCTATTTTCTTAAGGAATGTATACTAAAATATATAAGAATGAATGAATTTGCTTCAAATACCTTACAAAGAAAAAGGAAGAAATACAGAAAGGAAATGTAGCAAAATCCTGGTAATTGTTGAATCTGAATCAGAGGCTGAATCTGAATGCAAGCCACAACCAGTTTTAATATAGCCTAAGCTAAAAATGGTTCTCCCATGTATAAAGGACTGTAAAAACAACAAAGAAAAATATACAACCGAAATGTTTTCCCCAAAACCTAGATTGCTCACTAGCTAGCCCTATACAGAAAAAGTTTGCTGACCCTGTTCTGGATGATGAGCATATCAATCTCATTCCACAGTAGAGAAAGACAAATCTAGTAAGCCCCAATAATACTTTAACAGAAACCAAGCAAAACACCTACTCCAAAATTTCCTAACATTCAAAATATATTTTAAATAATTAAAAATTATTCTTGTTTAATGAATATTTGAATAAATCATGTAACAGGCACTGTTCTAGGGCCAGGATATATAGAAGTGAATGAAAAAGACAAAATCCCTTACCTTCATAGAATTCTGGCTTTGTTAGGTTGACTTTTCTTATTTTAATCACAAATATTTTATTTTCCTTCCCTTCTATATGCTCAAGTACATGACTGTTCTGACATAAAAGCATTCATACATACTTAATTTCATTGTAAACAAACAAATCACTGACATAAAAGGTAGGTTAATAACTTTTATTATTTTATTTAAAATGTAGTAATTATGCAATACTTACTGGAGATCCAAAGTTATGTCCAACTTCATGAGCAAAAGTAATGTGAGAGACTTTGGGAGGTACATGAGACCCATAGTTCTGAACAGTAATAATTCCAGTGTTTAAGGACTTCTTCTTACCATCTGAATAGAGCTTACTTTTTTCACATATTCCTCCAGAGCTTCCTAATTCAGAGCAAAAGATGGCTAAATTAACATCTATTTCACCCAAAAATAACTTTCTAATATGTGCTATATTAAATTAAGACATTTTATATTTGAGTCCAAAATACAACTGGTACCCACATATATCAAATACTCAAAAGTTTCTTTGGTCCACGTTAGGAAGTCATTTCAAATAAAAGCTTTAATGAAGAAACTCCCAGGATTGAGTACAAAGCCCTTATAAATATTCCTCTGCATAACCAAAAGGTCCCCAGATTTTTGCTCCCAATAATTTAACAAAACAAATACTTTTGTTTCTGTTAAATTTGAATATATCAGTATTTACACTGAGTCAAAACCTACACCTTTTATCTTTTACAAAGAAAACTTTAAGTTCACAAAAGTTGAATAAAATATTCTTAAGTAGATTCTGAGAAACTCACTTCTACAAATAAAAGCAGTGATGCACAGGAGTATGTACGTGATTCACTATCTATCCTGAGCGACAAGATACAATTTTTTTTTTTTAAGAACTAGGGTTGCCAAGGTATAGGGGTGTGGGGGGTGGGAGAAGTAGTGAGAGGTTGGTAAAAGGTATAAACTTTCAATTATAAGATGAATAAGGTTTCATAATGTATACAAATAGCAAGTCAGGACAATGTACACTTCAAATATCTTACAATTTTATTAATTATACCTCAATAAAGCTAAAAAGAATTATGCAAAATGGGTAAAAAAGCACAACAAAGGGAGGAGGGAAGGTAGGGAGGCGTATGAAGGAAGGAAGGGAGGGAGAACAAAAGTGGCAAAATGTTCATTATCAGATATTCACTGTAGTACTCTTGCAACCTTTTGGCATGTTTAAAATTTTTTTTCAAAATAAATTCAAAAAATTAAATTATGATTTTCCAATGTATCTTGAGAACACTTTCAAATTTTAAAAGGAAACCATATTTTTACTTATACTTATTAAGTCGTTTTATAGTTCATTAAGAGTTCCTGAACTTCAGAGTTTAATTCCAAAATGAAAGTGCTTTCACATCTAAAGGCAGTTAACATAAGAAATTAGAAAAAGAACATGAAATTCAGAAACTGGCTGGCCAATCCATGTCTTTATTTACACTGTACTGAAAAAACCATAGTTCTCCTAACTATTGAAGATTTTTAGTGAGAAGTTCTTGAGTTTATATTCACATTTAAAAGGTTTCTCTATCTGAATTTTTGTTAAAATACAATCAAATGGATTATTCTGATAACTGATCAAATTACTTCAAATTAGCTGTGTATGCAAAGTTAGAACCAAGTTATTAAATCATTTTTAAAAACATAATATTTAAGCCGGCCACTCAGTGGTTGAGCATCAACCTATGAACCAGGAGGTCACTGTTTGATTCCCAGTCAGGGCACATGCCCGGTTGTGGGCTTGATCCCCATTGGGGGATGGTTCAGGAGGAAGCCGATCAATGATTCTCTCTCATCACAGATGTTTCTATCAATCTCTCCATCCCCCTTCCTCTCTGAAATCAATAAAAATATATTTTTAAAGAAAATAAAATTTAAAAAACAAAAACAAAAAATAAAAAAATAACAAAAAATATATATATATTTTAAAACCTAATATTTACAATCTCTAATAAAGCATATAATAAAAAGCAATGAAAAATAGATCTGCACAAATGGCATGATACAACTGCTGTCTTGTTCCTTTTAAAATTAGAAAGTATATGGCAGCAAAACATAAATTTGAATTACTGTTATGATATAATTTAGGAAGCTGAGATGATAATGTGCTTCACAGAAAAATAAACTGAAAGACTGGGGCACACGCAGATTTTAACCAGCAAGGGATTGAGAATCTTTATGATAGTCAAAACTTACTTACTACCTTTTCTACACAGAAAACTGAATAAAAAAGCAAACAGCTAATGAATAATGAATAATTAATGTATTTTCTTAAGATACCTCTACTTTTAGAGATGAGTCCTAAGGACTATATCACTATTTCTAGAAAGTAGAAAAGATAGGACTCAGCACTCTGTATAATAATAATAATAGTATACATGTTATAGTTTTGAACAAATAGTAAATTAATATCCTGCCTTAGCGAAGATTTGTCATATGCAAATTGGTCCAATGTAGTACTGTCAAACTTGAATTAAGCATAGAAGACTCCACACTGCAAATTTATCAGTTAAAAAAAAGTAGAGAGCATATATTAAAAACTCTGATAATATACTTTTCTGTATTTTTAAGATCTATCTAGTAAAAGAGAAGTTCAGACATATACATGAGGGTACTTTTCTGAAATGTAGCCTTTGTAATTCATATCTTATTTAATGTTTTAAACTGCTTTTGGTCTATTATTATAGGAAAAGTTCATAGTTGTTACAGGCTAATAGAATATGTTAGAATAACTCAATTATACAGAAAGAAATAGAATACTGTATCTAATTTTGTAACTTATAGTTTAATTTTCTAATACTGTAACTAGTTTTGATATGCCAGAAACTCAATTATTGGTAAAATATCATATATACTTATAAATAAACCATAACTAAATTTGAGCAATTGCTTTATATTATAAATTTAAGATTTTACTATGTATGTCATCATTGAAAAACACAATTGTGAATAACAATGAGAAGGGTGAAATGTAAAATTAGAAAAACTACAAAGGTAATAAAATATCTTGACAGAATCTAAAAATACAATTTTGATGTGAGCAGGCCTAAGTACCTAAAACTTAATAGTAATATGCTGACCATACAATATTGATCTGAGCTGTAATTCTGAAACACAGTAGTACCACTGCCAGATAGGTTATTAAAAAAATATCCGAGGGCATTTCTTTGTCTTTCATGTCTGGGGGACAGTACTCACATGTAATGAGTAGGGACCACAGATGTTAAACATCCTGCAAAGGACAATCCAGACCTGAATAAAATGCCAATATTAAGTGTTCTGTTGCAACATTCTAATGATGTAATTCTCCTAACCTTGTAATTAGACTTTTAAACAACAGGTTAAGAATTCAATAAGCTGTTGGTTATCTTGAGAACCCATGATAAGCTCTGTATGTCCTCAAATCCTAATATGTAAAATTAAATGAAAGTTTCTAAAATAAGAAAAACAGAAGAGACTATTTCTACCAAATGAAATGTCTCAAAAAATGTTCTTCAAATTTAATGAACAACATAAACTGACAAACAAAAATAGAGCCAGAGACACAGAAGCATCGAACAGACTGTCAAACTTCAGAGGAAGGGGGGAGGGGGGGGGAGCGGGGGTAAGAGATCAACCAAAGGTCTTGTATGCATGCATATAAGCATAACCAATGGACACAGACACTAGGGGGAGGTGAGGGCATGTGCTGGGGGGTGGGGGTGGCCGGGGAGAGGTCAATGGGGAAAAAAGGAGAATTATGTAATACTATACATAATACTTTAAACAAAGAATTTTTTAAAAATGCTTTTAACAAATGGTCAGAGGAATACTGAATGGTTCAGGATTAACTATGAGAGGAATTCCAAAGCTAGTGTTATTTAGTAACCTACTGATAAAACTAAGATGGATAATATATGAGCAGAATGTACTTAATTATCCCCCTAAAAAATGGCCCCTCAAAAGGTGTGTTATAAGAGTATAGCAAGTAAAGTAGAACAAAGGAATTATTTAATATAAATAATTTACTTTGCTAAGGAACCAATGTTTCAGTCTCTAAATTAAATAAGAGGCTACCTGCTTAACAGAGAACTGTGCTTATATAAAGTTCAGAGTAATTTTTCCAGATTCATATTCAAGATTGACTTTGTTTTGGAGACCAGACTCCCTTTATTGGGCTCTCTTTAAGGCCCAGTATAATATTTTTGTTTTTGTTAATCTTCACCCGAGGATATTTTTTACATTGATTTTTTAGAAAGAGTGGAAAGGAGGGAAGGAGTAGGTAGAGGAGGAGAGAGAATGTGAGAGGGGGGAGAGAGAGAGAGAGAGAAACATCAATGTGAGAGAGACACATCAATCAGCTGCCTCCAGCATTTGTCCCAACCAGGGCTGGGGATCAAACCTGCAATCCAGGTGTGTCCGTGATCAAAATTCAAACCTGTGACTCTTCAGTGCAAAGGCTGATGTTCTAAGCACTGAGCCACAGACCAGGAGGACAGTACAATTTTAAACTGGAGCCTCCAAGTCAACCCAATTCGTTAGTTGTTTCTACTTATTACAGAGTTGAGGCAGAAGGTACTATTTTCCTCATTAACAAAACCCAAGACAGCACCCAACTATACTATGACATTTAATACAAACAAATAAAAAGTAGTGTAAAAAAGACTTGAAAACAGAAAACCTACTATTCAAATGTTTCAACCTTCATTGTTTTCCCTGGCTTAACTGAGTCAGTGAAGGGAAAATAGCTAATAATTTGAGTTATTGTTCTGTGAAAATTAACATAATAATATCACAATAAAATCTTTTCCACTACCATATATTTGAATAGTGAAATATCTACAGGATTAAATGAAGTTAAGCTAAATAATGCACCAGAATAAAAATTAATTAGTCCAAATAAAAATGAGAAAAGATTAAGAAACAGAAACAGATCGTAAGTTGAGCAGATCAGCTATGAAATGCTATTTTAAAAAACAAACAAGATATAACAGCAAGCATTACTAAGATCTATAGGCAGAAATATGAAGTCTCAAAGGAAAGGGCAAAGACAGAACATATTGAGGTGAAAAATAAACAAATTGAAGCAAAATGATTTACCTGAATTTATAGAAACAGAATGGACAAGCACCCAGTCTCATAGCTCCCAATTCAGTGCTCTTCCCATCATGTCATAACAGCTAACCAAAATGATATTAAATATTATAGAGTAGTACTTATTTTATAACTGCTCTCTCTTAAGCCCTGACCAGTTTGGCTCAGTGGATAGAGTGTCTGCCTGTGGTCTCAGGGGTCCCGGGCTCGATTCCGGTCAAGGGCATGTGCCCTGGTTGCGGGCGCATGCCCGGTGGGGAGTGTGCAGGAGGCAACTGATCGATGTTTCTAACTCTCTATCCCTCTCCCTTCCTCTCTGTAAAAAATCAATAAAATATATATTTTTTTAAAAAAGAAGAAAATGAATTCTAACAATATAAAAGTTTACCAAGATGCAGGAAACATTTCAACTTATTAGAAATGCGTTAAAAAGACACAGCTAGGATATTACAGTATATAATACCTAGTGAAGTAACTACCAAATGCACTAAACCTGGAGTCAAAGGTCCAGATTCTAGATTCTGTATGATACTGGGTTGATCAGTCTCTGAACTTAAGTTTTCTCATATTCTCCAAAAAGGACACACAGATGGCCAAAGACACATGAAAAGGTGCTCAACATCACTAATCGTCAGAGAGAGACGCAAATTAAAACCACAAGATATCATTTCACACCTACCTACATGACTACCATCAACAAATCAACAAACTACAAATGCAGGTGAGGATGTGGAGAAAAGGGAATCCTAGTGCACAATTGGTGGCAATGCAGACTGGTGCAGCCACTGTGGAAAACAGTATGGAGTTTCCTCAAAAATTTAAAAAACGGAACTGCCTTTTGATCCAGCAATCCCACTGCTGGGAATATATCCTAAGAATCCTGAAACTCCAATCAGAAGGAACATATGCACCCCTATGTTCACAGCAGTGTTATTTACAATAACCAAGATCTGGAAACTGCCCAAATGTCCATTGGTAGGAGGTGAGGGGATAAAAGAAGTATGGTACATTCACACAATGGAATACTATGCAGCTGTAAAAAGGAAGAAACACTTACCTTGTGTAACAGCATGGATGGACCTGGAGATTATAATGCTAAGTGAAATAAACCAGTCAGAGAAAGCAAATACCATATGATCTCACTTATATGTGGAATCTAATGAACAAAATAAGCTGATGAACAAAACAGAACCAGAGTCATGGATACATGGTATTCTGAAAAATGACAGAGGGGAGGTGGGTGTGGTGAGCGAGATGAAAGAAGGTGAAAAGAATCGCCAGAGAACAGATCTGCATAACCCAAGGACACTGACAAAAAGTGGTTAGGGCCAAAGGTAGAGGAGAACGGGGTATAGGTGGAGAGGAACAAATGGGAGAGAAAATGAGGTCTATCTCTAATAATGTCAACAATAAAAGTAAATTTTTTTTAAAAAAAAAAGAAGCTTTGGTGAGGAGAGATTAACCAGAGAACTTATATGCATATATGTATAGCCCATGGACACAGATAATAGTGTGGTGAAGGCCTGGGAGGGGTGAGTTTGGGGTGAAGGTGTCCAAGGGGGGGACATTTGTAATATTTTCAACAAGATAAATAAATTTTAAAAAGGAAGCTTTGGAAATTGTTAAAAGGATATACATTACTAGCTTAAAAAATAGAACTAGAGCCCAGTGTGGCTCAGTTGGTTCAGCGTTAACCCATGCACCAAAAGGTCCCCAGTTTGATTCCTAGTTGGGGCACATGCTGGGGTTGCAGGCTGGATCCCCAGTAAGGGGAGTGCAGGAGGCAGCCAATCAATGTTTCTCTCTCTCTCTCTCTCTCCCTTTCTCTCTAAAAAAATCATTAAAAAAAATTTTTTTAAATTAAAATAGAGCAAGAAATAGAAAAGCGAAAGTATAGTACAAAAGATGCTAAACTATGCATAACAAATCATAGAATAAACTAATAAATATCTATACTAATAAAAGGGTAATATGCTAATTAGACCAGACATCTTCTGGACATCCTTCCGGGTGTCCTTCTGGATAAAGCCATGGTGGTGGGGGCCGAGGCAGAACCAGTTAGGAACAATCAGGCCGGCAGGGGAGGGCAGTTAGGGGGTGATCAGGCCAGCAGGGGAGGGCAGTTAGGGGGTGATCAGGCCAGCAGGGGAGGGCAGTTAAGGGCGATCAGGCTGCCAGGGGAGGGCAGTTAGGGGCGATCGGGCGGGCAGGGGAGCAGTTAGGGGGTGATCAGGCTGGCAGGCAGAGGTAGTTAGGGGTGTCAGGCAGGCAGACAGACGAGCGGTTAGGAGTCAGCGGGCAGGAGTCAGCAGTTATGGATTGGGAGAGGGATGTCCGACTGCTGGGATCGGGCCTAAACTGGCAGTCGGACATCCCCCAAGGGGTCCTGGATTGGAAAGGGTGCAGGCCGGGCTGAGGGACCCTCCCCTGTGCACGAATTTCGTGCACCAGGCCTCTAGTAGGAATATAAAAGCCTATCTTACCCTGGATAAAGCAGGGTTAAGACAGGGCCAGAAAGTCAATTCTTTTATAAAGAGAAGTTGATTCTTTTTTAAAAAGATAAAAATGATGCATCAGAAGAACTGCTGTACATATAGCTCAGAAGATGACAGATTGATTAGCAAACTATATATGGCAAAATTCACATTCAAAGAGTCTGTGATTCTTTCTACAGATCTTTCAATTAATAAATTCATGCCCTAGCCGGTTTGGCTCAGTCCATAGAGTGTCGGCCTGTGGACGAAGGGTCTTGGGTTCGATTCCAGTCAAAGGCACATGCCCATGTTGCAGGCTCTATCCCCAGTAGGGGCTGTGTAGGAGGCAGCCGATCAAAGATTCTCTCTCATCATTGATGTTTCTAGCTCTCTCTCCCTCTCCCTTCCTCTCTGAAATCAATAAAAATATATATTTTTAAAAATAATAATAATGACTAAAAAAAATCCTAGCCAGGTGGTTCAGTTGGCTGGAGCATCGTCTTATGTACCAAAAAGGTTTCGGGTTTGATTCCCAGTCAGGGCACATACCTAGGTTGTGGGTCCAATCCCTGGTCAGGGCAAGTACAGGAGGCAACTGATCAATGTTCCTCTCTCTCTCTACCTTCCCCCTTCCTCTCTCTAAAATCAATAAACATATCCTCAGGTGAAGAATTTTTTTTAATAATAATAATAATGACTAGAGAAAAATAATAAAGGCAGGTTTTTTCTTTCTACCTGCTCCTCCTGACCAGGGTTACTCTCCTTTCTATCTCAGTATAGAACAGAAGCAAAGCATGGTTTTCCCCTTTTAACTATAAAACTTTCTTTTAAACATTTTTTTAAATAATTAATAACATTAACTTCTGTAAAACATTTAATATTTTGCTTTTCATTTCAGAAATTAGTACCACTTTTTCTCATAAAATTATTTATTTCAGCTACTAAATGTACCAAAATATCAGGATATCTCCCTACTGGTACTCATTTCAAAATAAAAAGCTGCTTCATTTATTTTTCCATTTATATATATCATGCTAATGAATCTTGTACAGGCATCACTTTCTCTTATATTGTGTAAAATTCAGTCTGCCCTGAAAATTGCTTTTCGTTTCAAGTATTACATCAAGACATAGACAAACTACCTGAAGGTGCTCCAACCCAAGCCAGACCAAGAACGCCATCATCAAAATCTCGGTCAGTGAAGACATAGGCCAAACAGTAGTCATCATGATTCTGCTCAGAATTCAATTCCAGAAACTTCTCCACACCAATATTTGGAAAACGAAAGGGATTTGTGGGGTCCTTCTCATCAGCAGTTGTATTGATCTAAAATTAAAAAATAATTAATGTTAGCAGAGCCTTAGCGTAAGTCTCTATTCACCTCCTTCTGAATCTACCTGAACAATATGTTTGGGGCCCCTGGAAAATTAGGCCTCAATTAAGGCTTCTATGGTTGTACACGCTACCTCCAAAACCCCTTAGCTGATTTCAGAAGCCAAAAAGAAAAAAAGAAAGGCAAGGTGGAATGTGTTACATTTCTGAGCAAGTATTTAACAGATTCTTGAACACTTGGTGTGGAAAAACAAGTTCTTATTTCTAATCAAGTTCAGTTTCTAAATTCAATCATCTGAGCAAATCTCTTTTACTGCAAAATCTCCTATATACTAGTATGGTGACAAGTATGAGAACATAAAACCCTGTATTTCAGCTAATTACTAGAACATAAAACAAACTTGGTTCTCCTTACAAGTTCAATTTTTTCTCCTGAGTGTGGCAAAAAATTATATATATACATATATTTTTCTGCCAATTCATTTCTCTTACTACTTCAGGCTGAGTTCCTCTAGAATGTTTCTTTCTTTTTTAAAAATATAAATTTTACTAGAGGCCTGATGCACAAAATTCATTCAAGAGTAGGCCTTCCTTCCCCCGGCTGCCAGCACCAGCTTCCCTCCGGCCACTGGCAGGCACCCAGGACCCGGGCTTCCCTCACAGCCCTGGCTTCGTCCAGAAGGTCGTCCCGAAGGACGTTCAGTCTAATTAGCATATATGCTTTTATTATTATAGATTGATTTCAAAGAGGAAGATAGAGATAGAAATATCAATGATGAGAGAGAATCATTAATCAGCTGCCTCCTGCATGCCCCACACTGGGGATCAAGCCTGCAAACCGGGCATGTGCCCTGACCTGGAATTGAATCATGATCTCCTGGTTCATAGGTCGGTGCTCAACCACTGAGCAACACTGGCCAGACTAGAATGTTTCTTTTGACACTAGCTATTAAACTCCCAGTACAGGTTCCTCCTTCACAATTTGAAGAATAATGGTATTCTGATAACAAACTTCTGCTAAACAAAAGCTTTCATTTATCAGCCTCTGCTTCATTTCAGAGACCCCTATCTGTCCTTTGAAGTCCTAGAACAATCTGGCTTTCTTCAAATAAGTCAGAGAATTACATACAATATTGTTGCTAGAGAGTAAAAAGGGTAAGTATGATAGTAAACATTTTTTAGAAGGCAAACCTCAAACTATTGAAAATGTCAATAGTAAAGGGAGGATATAACAGCTAATAAAATAAGAATTACTGGTCTTTTTAGGATCTACACCTTTCAGTAAAACCAAGGGGCTTAGAAGCAGAATGGCAATTGCCTAAGGACAGATTTCAGAACATCTAACTTACCCACTAACAATTAACCAAAAAAAATCAGTTATGGTCATCTAACACACATACACAAAAATCCAAAACAAGCATGATATATCCTATCTAATAAAGAGGGCATATGCTAATTGACCCTCACACTGTCACAAAGATGGTGGCGCCCACAGCCAATGAGGGAATATGCTAATTGACTGCCCCGCCCTCAAAGATGGCAGCGCCCACAGCCAATAAGGAGGGAATATGCTAATTGACTATCACACCCTCAAAGATGGTGGCACCCACAGCCAATGAGGGAATATGCTAATTGACTGCCCCGCCCTCAAAGATGGCAGCGCCCACAGCCAATAAGGAGGGAATATGCTAACTGACTGCCCCGCCATCAAAGATGGTGGCGCCCACAGCCAATAAGGAGGGAATATGCTAACTGACTGCCCCACCATCAAAGATGGTGGCGCCCACAGCCAATAAGGAGGGAATATGCTAATTGACTGTCACTCCCTCAAAGATGGTGGCACCCACAGCTAATAAGGAGGCTCAGGTAACCAGGGCTGGCCGAGGCTTGCGCTGCCGGCAGTGGCCGGGTCGCCTCCTGCCCCTGAGGGCTCGCAGACTGTGAGAGGGGACAGGCCGGGCTGAGGGACACCACCCACCCCCAGTGCATGAATTTTCATGCACCGGGCCAATAGCATACATTATATATATGAATATACGTATATATGTATATATATGTATGCTAGAGGCCTGGTGCACGAATTCGTGCATGGGTGGGGTCCCTCTGAGTGGCCTGCAGGGATCGGCCCGAAACCCGCAGTCCAACGCCACCTGCAGCTCCTACCTGCCGCTCCCGCTCATCTGTGTCTGCCGCGGGCTCATGCCCAATCAGTTCCTATCATGAGAAGCTCGCGCTTCCACAGCAGCGCTGGCCAGCCATGAGCCCTGCATCTGGCACCCACCCAAGGGGAGTGGCCTGCGGGATCAGGCTGAAACCGGCTATCCCATATCCTCCAAGGGGTCCCGGATTGCGAGAGGGTGCAGGCCAGGCTGAGGTACCCCACCAATGCATCGTCGGGCTGGGGAGGGACCTCAGGGAGGGCTCCAGGGTGTGTCCGGCCCATCTCGCTCAGTCCCAATTGGCCGGACCCCAGCAGCAAGCTAACCTACCGGTCAGAGCATCTACCCCCTGGTGGTCAGTGCACATCACAGCGACTGGTCAACTGGTCAACTGTCTGCCCCCTGGTGGTCAGTGCATGTCATAGCGTCTAGTCAACCATGACTAGAAATGGAACTGTGACCTCCTGGTTCATAAGTCCAGGTTCAACGCCTAAGCCAGGGGTCCTCAAACTACGGTCCGTGGGCCACATGCAAATACAAATATTGTATCTGTTCCCGTTTTGTTTTTTTACTTCAAAATAAGGTATGTGCAGTGTGCATAGGAATTTGTTCATAGTTTTTTTTTAAACTATAGTCCGGCCCTCCAACGGTCTGAGGGACAGTGAACTGGCCCCCTGTTTAAAAAGTTTGAGGACCCCTGGGCCTAAGCCATGCCAGCTGGGCTAGATTTTACTTCTTAAATCATAAACCCAGGTATCCCTTCTGTGTGTGCACATATGTATCTGTGTGTATAAAGCCAAGAGTAAAGATACACTGCATCAGTAATACATGTAAACTATTGCATGCATAAAAAGCAAGCCTTCTTA